TTAAAGTATAGTATTTTACAAACAACTCCATAATATATCATTAATCAAGTTTAAGTGCACGAAGACCTTCCTTTTTGGTTCGCGACTTGTACAATAAAACGATTTATTGAGCACCCATGTGTTATAATAAGTAGATAATGTGACGTCGAATGCATGCGCATAGAAAAAAATTATTTCTTAGTTTAACAATAATCATTTAATGGCAAATTTTTCTTTCCCTGAAGAGCGGTCGTTCGTCCTCTAGGATGCGGACTAAGCGGCCGATGAGTTACAAGGAGTTTTGTGCGATCTCCGTGGCCATTCAGCTTTTAGGTCACGAGCTGCATTTCAATGTCAATTCTCTACAATTGCAGTATTTTTTGTGTGGAATAAGTGCAATTCAGGCAACGTCAATGTCAATTTTTTGCTATTACAATTAGCTAAGAGATTTGACTAATATAGATTGAGATTGAACACACATGTGAACAGGTGAACGACTGACCAATGGCCCTCAACAGGTTCAAATATAGTAATAGCACAAATTCAACTTTATGTATTAGGACTATGTTAGTTGTTGTCCGACGCTGGCCATTCGCGAGACAATGTTGTCCTAGGACATTGCTTTCAGAGATTTGGAACTTTTATTGCACCCCATGAGAACGTAAACCCCCTACCAATCCATGGGTACACCCGGAGATATTAGGCAGATATGTATGCGTGTAAGTTGACGGGAAGTACATAGATTAACCCAAATTCTTTAGCGAAATTGCTCCTATGCCGCGTATATAGGTTTGGCCATTGTCCCCTTCTATCGTCTGAAAGTACAGGATGAGATTAGTTTTAAGGCTGGGATTAAAGTGAGGGTTTGTATTCGACTCTTTTTCTCCTGCGCAGTTTTGCGCACGCTCACTAGTATAACTATGGATGCCTATTTTTATGTCTTATCTAATAAAGTAATCGACAGAACGTTATGTATGTAGTCTGAATATTGTCATTGGCAAGCAACAGGCTAATGTGGTCTTATTCAAGCTGGTGCCCATCGAAAATAAATTGCTGCAGAATACGTCATTAGTTTAATTCGTGGGGGTGAATTTATTTTCAATCACATTTCCTTGCAAGTTATATGATATTTATAGAAGTGGTTAAATAATTTTCTAGCCGGGAAGCAAATCGATCAGGATATCGCCGCCAAAATGTCAATCAGAACTGTTGAAATGTCGGCTATGACTGTTACTGCAGCATTCAAGTTCCATCGATCCCAATTTCTTAGTCCTTTGAATGCAATTACTTGTTTTAAACACCAGTTTCTTTCTTTAAAATCTTTTAGCACTATCAAAAAACTTAATAAAATTTAAAACTGATCAGAAAATGTCTTCTTACTTGTGCGTCACATGAGTGACATAATAAATAAATAATTTATAAATAAGTGTGAAAATTGCTTGCACATTTATTTCCCGTAAATAAAAAATGCTGGGTTTATTTGGTATTCAAGCAAATTATTTTTTGTAAAATAATGCCATTTACCTAGAGCCATTTATAGATAAATTTGCGTAGGAAACGTACAGCTTATATGGAAATGACGTCGAACGCAGACACTGAACGCTAGAGTTCTAAGATTAGCTTTTGAAAACCTGAACATTTATCCCGAACTCAGAAATGCAGTTGTCGAAATAATAGCCTTAGTTGCCTGACGTTTTGAATTCACACTCGGATCTATCATCGCGGGCAAAATCAGATAAGAACAGAAGTCACACGCGTGTTACAGTAATTATGAATTGCAGTCGCCAGGCTACCTATCATGTCAGATAGTTGCGCGTGATGTGAATGTTGTCTGAGAGATTTAGCTGTTGCATTGCATGTACATAACTGTCAAAATAATTTGCTCCCAAATCCATCGCCGATGGTTGTGCTTGGTGCCTTAGTGGTCTAACTGTCTGCAACCGAGTCATCAACTGCCATGCGGGCCCTGAGCAGTTCGACTCGCCAACACTGACACCGATAACAATGGTTATCCGCACATTCTGCTCAGGGGTAGCAACTTTATTTAGGCAGGTTCAGCGCAGAATACGGAGCGGGAAAATAATCTCACTTAGTAATTGACTGAGGATCGGAAAACTAGGACTCGAGAAGTTTGTTGCTAACGCGGTCCTTATCTCGCAAGAATTTGTGCTTCATTGAACTTGAATGTTTGACTAGTTTCCATCAAATGAACTGCAACTATGTAGCTGGCGTCCGTTATGCTCACCCCCGCAGCGTGTTTGACTATTCGTGTATAGTGTAATCTTCCCGTTTCTCCGAAATAGTATTTGTTCACAACTATACGAGACTCGGTAGACAACTGCAGACGTTTACTATCGTGACTGTGGGTCTTTCAGTCTCATAGATTGATGTCTTATAGTTATTTCTGGTATGCGCGTAACCCCAATTCCAAAATTGATATTCTCCCTTCTTCATCGTAAATTGTGGGAAAGATAGTGTTCAGATATTTATTTGATAATAAGGACATAATCTGGTCCCATGGCAGCAAAGTGATCATCCGCATTCCGAGCTCAGAATTTCTGTCTATGGTTTTGGAAGACCAGCAACTCCAAACGTTGCAGTATTGCCCTGGTTATCCGTCCTAAAATAATTGAAATCACTGGAGTTCCTTTCACCTACTCATAAATTATTTCGCGATTGCGAACTACGTCTTTCAACAGATTCTCCGAAGGTAGAGGATCTGGGAATCTCCAAGATAATTCGTCGTCAAACAATATTTGGTTTATAGAAGTAGTTCTATGGTGTTGACTGCCAGACCCTGGGAACTGGAAGTAACACTTATGTGACGTGAAAAGATATCATGATCTCATTGGGCAGAAGACGTTCCCCATGAAGATCTTCAGGAATTGTGTTGACTGACCGATCGCAGTGTCTGAAGTAACGCTCAGAAATCTGAGACGCCGAAAGAGTCATTTTTTTCGTCAGCAAGTTGGAAAACCTACGAAGGATGTGATTAAGCAGAGGGAAGCCCCCTTTATGTGCACATTGGGAAAGCTACAGAATCGGGCTGCGGCCGTGTCTCGGGCTCTCATCATGCGCCGGTCGACCAGTAATATTGCATTGGGGTTCTCCTTTGTGGACATCGCAAGGATTTCGCTTGCTAGCGTTTTGAAATTGTTAAGTTTATATGAGACCTGGCGTTGTCGATTCCCCTGTAAATCTTAGCCTGTTGGTCTTAGTCCTTCCTGTCCACTGCGATTTTTGACCACCTTTTTCCTGCAGGCTGGATAACGAGGTTTTTGATGGCGTCAAGTTCACTTTTTGCACGGACTTCAACCATAGAAAGCACTTCGCCCTGTCATTGAGTCAGGGGAAGAGATGATGGATTCCAATGTGAATCCAAAAATCAATATACTAAGTCTCCTTTTTCAGTGATTTTGCCTAATTCGCGACTTTACATTGAACGGCCTTTTTGTTTTTAATCGTAAATAATTCTGAATTATAAACAAAAAGTAGAATAATCTAACATGAACTGGTATGAATAATTTAAAATGCTTTCAGATATGAACACCTGAAAGCCACACATGCTCGACGTGCGAGAAACGTCACGTCAGATTAACCGATAGAAGGCAAAATTCCGACTCTCCGTTAAGATTATACTTGACACTTCAGAGAATGACCAATATATTGGAGTGCGCCCTTCTAAAATATTTAGTTTCTATGCAAATATATTGAACCACTCATTGAGGGATTATAAAGCTTCGCTATTTGGTATTTACTGTGTAGACAACTATATATGCTTAAAAAGGCGTTATAGAGCCGTTGGTCCGATTTATAAAAAAATATATGCAAAATTCAACAACTTCATAAACGAGTGAAGTCGTTGGACATAATTTTAAAAGTATTTTATCCCTGATAATAAGAAACTTGTAAACATTTACAAGGCAGTTGAAATGAAATATAACTGTTCATTACGATATAATGATGAAAACTTTGTCACCATAATGAAGAATATTGGAACGTTAATTAACTTTTAAGAAACGCCAACATGCCTACGCCAGAAAAATAAACAAGCAATGAAAATCTAAGATATTAGACAGTGAATAAGGTTCCTTAGGCTTTAATTTGGTGAGCACTTTGAAGTTTTCGTCTTTGAGTACTCCGGTCTATGCGTTATACTTCTGCTCCTAATTGTAGCCATTTTTTGTGTCGAACACCCTTCAACCTAGCTTCTATTTTACTAATGAATATTACTCAAATGCAGCCATTGGGCTTTTGTTTAAGGTTTTGAAGTCATCATAGAAGCTTTCATAAGTAATAATAGTAACGGCTCAATTTATTGCTTTATAAAATGGGTTGACCAGGTCACTTGGGCAATTTTCTAACGTAGAGGTTTAGCATATCTTTCCAAATGTATAGCAGACAATTGTATTCTGGTTTTTTCCCAACACTTCAATAATGGGAAACAAAAGCACAAGAAAATGGAAAAAACCAAAATTTTGCCCAATTTGTCGAAAGACAGGACTTAATAAGCCAGTTTCTGTGGTACTTTCAGTAACCACGTATTCCCAAAAGATATTTTATGACCTCGTACGATTTTTTGGTGTTATGGACTTAAGATCCCGAATGAATGAAAAGACTTAAGATCGTTTTGAATAAGAGAAACACTTCAGATTCAGCCCGCTAGAGTGTGCCAGCAGAAGACATTTTAAAGTCTTACCATGGTGAAAAGGCAGTGATTTACATATATGAATGCCGTTTAGTACGCATTTATGGACTGCAGTTTTCCAAACCATTGTGTGCTTGCACATGCATTTTTAATTATCTTAACGTCAATCTTTAGAAAAGTTTACTGCTATTTCATCACTTTTTCGGTGCTGTATTAGGTGCAATTATTCGTTTACTTCAAGCCCTTTTGCTTAATAGTTATTGAATTTGATTATAGTTCACACCCCCTCAACTGATGCCATAGAAGAATGTGATTGACAATTCAAGTCACTGCATAATAACATGGCCGCTATACTGATTCGAAATCACGCAGCATGATTACTGAACATGAATGCCCTACATGTGAGGGTGCGAATAACTTCAGTTTCAATGCTTGTCATCAGCTTCAATTCCAAAGTAATAATGAATCATCAGTAAAATTTCTTAAAGTGTGTAACCCTCATTTTTGTGTGGCTGAACTAGAAGAATCCTGTCCACCATTGTCGATAGCATCTTCCCGGGGGAGAAGATCCTCTGAGGAGTCTTCAGCAACGACATTGAGGAAGTACTATGATGGAACTGCCTCCACAACTCCAACCTCGTTGGCCTCACCAACTGTGCCTTTTGATGCATTAAAGGCCACCGATAAGTACGTTTCAAAAGTCCTGGTTCGACTGCAGTCGAAGACTCCTCAACCAAAATTCCCAGAAAGGCAAGCATCTACCGACTTCGATACCGACTCTGGTACAAGTTCCGCTACTGAATCGCTGAGTGATGCAGATACTTATTTGGCTTGGCCTGCGCGATTAATTTCTGATAACCAACTTGAGGTGTATGGTGGCAGTCCCAGCATTCGAGTAGATTGCATTAAAACTGAATCCATTCCACCGCCACCACTCTCAGAATTCCACGTGGTCTTGCCTTCGGCGTGTCCTAGCCCACCAGAGTTGCCCTTCACAACCCCGTCAGAGTTTTCCTCTTTAAAACAAACAGCATACTTCAAAAGGAATGAAAAGGAAAAGGCAAAATCAGTTCACTTAGGGTGTTCTGCGCACGAATATTGTGAAAACTCTAGACTTAATAAGTCCGAGTCGCCTAATGTTGAAGTTGAACCCTTCTCCACACCGTCACCGAAATCTAAGTCCTGTTCACAAGCAAGCAGCCTGGAATTACCCCCATCAATATTCGCGGAAGGTGCTTATCCCCCGTCGGTGAAGGGACATGTTAAAAGATTTGTTTCAATGCTTGAGGTTAAAATTTCTAGTTCTGACTCGCGGACTAGAAGAAGTGAAAGCACAGGCACTGGTTACTCCAAATTCTCTCTTGCAAGGCGTATGAACGCCTTTGCGGTGACAAGTAAAATTCGATTTTACAGCAGCCGATGTGAGCTCATAAGCCCGCTAAATGATTCCGGCTCGCAAACAATTAACCACAGTGGAAGCAACTCGATTAAATCGCACGGCCAGACGACAGCACTGTCAGTTGAAGGGAAGCCACAGAAAAGCACCAGTCAAAAAGCTTGTGCCTTGATCTCTGAATTGATTACGCCTGAGAACAAGAAAGTGGAACGAAACGGAACTCCTGACAGAAACGATAGTAACGGGACACCAACACTGGGTCAATCCATGCGGCTGCGAAGAATGCGCCCTCAGCAGGAATTAACGGAAATTCGCACAGTCAAAAGTTCACAGGGATTTGATCGTCATCCCGTCACTGCCGATAGTGGGAACTGTGGTGTTATAAATCCCGTCTGTACCGATCGAATATCAAAAGCCGGTCACAAGATCTTACTGCAAAGTCCTGACTCCCGTTGTTCGAAGCAAAGTGTAAAAGTCAACCTCCAAAGTGGATCAGCCTGTTCGCAAATTCCAGTTTCTTTACTAAAACTTGGAACTCAGAAAACAGATAATACTGTTCGTAGTTTCGCGCAGCTGTATATTGTAGACACCGAACCAGAAGTCTTTAACAAAGTTAGAAGTCCTACAACAATGGAGCATAATGGTCATCTACCAAAACTTATTTCTCGTCCTCTATCACCAAAGGTATTAGAACCTCATGAAATCTCATTTGGAGAAAAGTCAGGTTCAGGAAAACTCCTGCGCAGTCAAAATAGCCCTCCTATCTTACATGCTTCGACTCCAGCGACACAGATGTCGCTTGTTAACAATGCTCAACCTTCCAAAATTTCAAAAGAATCGGCGATGCCACAGGGTAAACAATCCCTGCCCCCAACCCAATGCTCTATCAATTATTTAAGTCAAAATCTGCCAGTTGTGAACCCAGCTCCAAGGACTCATGACGACCTACAATTACACAGAGAAGAGGTGCGAGAGCACAGAATTCTTTTTCAGAAAGACACTCATTCACCAGCACCGTTGATTAATGAAAGACTAGCTGAGCCCGCCATCTCGGCCGCGGATGTCTGGTCAGCAAGGAATAACCGCAGTCTTCTTTTTAACTCACGACATTCTTCTGAAAATGTGAGTCCTGTCAAAACCGAACAGCATCTCCTGATAAATAAGTTCCTAGGTATTGGCAATTCCCCCTTAGGTGATTTTTCTTCATCGGCCATCGAATATCGGTTGCTAGACGTACCTCCGAAGGTGGCAGGAGGCACCTCTGTACGACTCGCACTCCCACTTGCAGGATTACATGGCCAGTTATCATCTAAGGAAGACGAAACACCCTTTACCCTCGCACAAGACTGTGCTTCTAGTCCAAATCAAATGACAAAAATGCTTGTTGGGAGTCTACAGCTAGTTCGTGAAGTACACGGGACTCTTCCTCTCGAAATAGCTGGCCTCTCGCTGCTGCCCACCTGGCATGGTGACGGGGATGGTATTCTCTCAACATATCAGTTACCTCCTAGGCGGTACAGTCTACGTGTCAGCGGAGGAAGGGCAAGCAGACTGCAAAACTCGAAAAACCTTTTCCAAACAAGCTATGAGAAACCTATCCCAACGCCCGACGTGCAAACTACCTCCTTATCAAATGCTCCACAACGCGATAGTAGTCCGGTAAGAGCAACTGTAGGTGTGGCCAAGGGTGCAGTTTCGGAAAACAGATGCAGGTGGACGGCTATTCCGAATATGAGGCGCGGAAGTCACGTTTTTATGTCTGATCTGTGGCCCGAAATTATTCAGAGGAGAGATCGCGAGGGAAATTCCGCTTCCTCTCTACAAGGCTATAGCTGCAAACTCTTTTCTTTGGAATCCGAAAAACAAGAGGGCTCCGAAAGATTGCCAGGTCTCAAAGCCACTGGAAGTCTGCCTGTAAGTTCTCATCTTTTTCATGCACTTTGGTATAGCCGTTGCGATTACAAATTTTGCGCACGTATCTACATAAAAACCTCCATTCTTATAAAACTTAATGAAAGTTAAGAACAAGTATAAGATATTTGTAGTAATGTTTTACTTTTCGAAAGACCACAAAGATCACACCGATGATGCCTGCTTTGTACGTTTTATTGTTTTGTGGTTTTCAGGCTATGCAACGACAGTTTATGTTGGAGACCACCGCAATAGTTGACTCCACACTGACTCCGGAGATAACCGAAAGGTACGAAAAAGAAGCAAATTGTAGTATATAAATGCTGAACGATAAATAATGATGGTTTATGTTTAGCTCGATTAATCTTATTCGTCTCTAAAATCCTTTGAGGAATCTGCTCCAATACAGAGTGATCTACTTCAAAAAAGAATGACCTAGTGACTTTTAAACGTAGAAATTTCGCGGAGTACCCATAATTGTAAAAGCATTTCAGTAAAGAGCATAACTCTATTATATGCACACCACCCACGTGTGGAGTTGTCTTGAATTTCTTGCAAATCGAATAGAATCTTTTTTTAAGAAAACACGGTATCCAAACGTATAACTCTCCCTCGGTAGTGGAAAAATCTCAAATTCTGAAAATGGCAAAAGGTATGCAATCATTTGTAGAAGGAGACCACTAACAATGACAAGGGATATTCAATTGACTACTTCTGGCTTATTGTTCATCACCAGTCAGTCATGCGCAAAACACCAGACTGTCAACGCCTGAGGTCCGTACACGCATCCCGTTGGTTAGATGTCAATCGCTCCAATCATTGGACCACAGCTCCATGGGTCTCTGTATGGTACTCTTGAGCACAACAGGAAACGTATGGTCCTGAACGCGATCGGTGAGCGTTCTTTCACTACAGTTAATAACCTGAC